CATTAACAAACACAATGACCGGACACGAAGGCACAATTCGAACTTTTGGCATATCGGCTCCACTCACAAGTATGTAATTAGGAATGTAAAAGTCCCTCAACTTATCCTCAGTTTTCGTATCACCCATCATCATATCCCAACTGGCAGTGTTTTTCAATCATCAAATCCCAATTTCAAATCAATAATAATGATCAAACACAAAAAAAAAAGTAATAACAACAAAAATACTATAATTCGATCAATTAAAGTTCCAAACTTTCAAAAACTCAACCTCTTAGCAAGAAAACTATGAATGTGGGAAGCCAAGCGATTCCTAGAACTGCCAGAAACCCGGTTCAGAAACTCCATTTCTGTGTAAAAAAAAAAGGGGGTTTTAAAGCTTTAACTCAAAAAAAAAAAAACAGAAAACAAAATGGTGGCAGAATCTTCCTACAGTTTTTTTCTCAGCAACCAAACAGGGGTTGTGGGGATTGCGGAGGACAAAACAATCAGCCAATCCGAGGAGTTAAAAAGGCAGCAGAGGATATAAAGATAAAGGGTCTTCGATTGCTTTACCTGAAGAAGTTTCAGATAAATTTCCAAGCAATAAAAAATTGAAAAGACAAATGCCACTGTTTCGATGCCAAGCAATGCTCTGATATTCCGAATCTCTGATTGGGACAAGGAATCAATCAGATCATCATCAGAGCATTGCCTGGATCGGGAGAGGGAAAGGAATTAAAATCTTCGCATGATTTTGTCCTCCGTGTTATCTAATTAATTTGAGAAATTTGCGGAATTGCCTGGAATTTTGGTTTTTTTCAATTTTTTATTTAATGTTAGAAATAAATTGCCGACCGGATTTCAAATTCGGAATATAATGGAGTAAGTAGAAGGGTGGTCATCGTGTGAGGTAGGTATATTGTCTTGTAGTGGGTGCTGAGCTTGAACATGCCACGTGATGGCGGGAAACTGCGTCGGACTCGAGGTGGACTCAAAGGCTGGCTGCTAGGATGGGCCGAAACCTTCAAAACCCTTTGTAATAGTGTATTGCAAAGAAACCCTAGTAGCCCGCATATTTAGTTGAGGCATCAAACGATAACCATGTTTTTTTTTTTTTTTCGAAAAAAATAGACAACTGGTGGCAAGTTACGATTATTCACCATTTCCAGACCCAGAGAGGTCATAGGAAATTTCACTCTATCCGTGGCCACAGTTAAGCAGAATGACCCACTCGAAGCATTGGACTCGGAACCTCCCACATTTTCTTTGTCTTTTTGGGGAGCTACAGTCTGAGCCTTTACCGCTAGGCCACTTGCCGGTTAACCATTTTGTTTCAGTCTTCACTTTTTTGAAATTTATTGAAATTGTGTTCAATAACGTTTTCAAATTTTATAAAACTGAAACCAAAAAGTGAAAACTCAACGCCAAATTTAAAAAAAAAAAATATAGTTTCCAATTTTAATTTTTTTCTTAAAACTAAAAGCTGAAAATAGTTACCGAACAGATTTCAATTTTCGAATCTTAATATTTTGAATTTTATGGAATTGGACCTGTAATGGATCCAGACATCAATTTAGACGCTACTTTGTTATCATGCCTTCAAACGATGATGTTCAACAAAACCCAGTTGCCGTTTCACAAATCAATGATCAAAACCAATTTCAACCAGACCAGCTCCAATATATTGCCCCATTTTTAAACCAAACCCCATCACTAATTTTGGCCACCCTCGTTCTGATCAGAGTTGTTTTGTTCCTATAACATTCCGGGACAAGATTACCAGCCGGCGTGCATTTCAGATAACGTTAATCATCAAAGCTATCAAAATACGTGTAGTTTTGGTTTCTACCAACCCCTTCCTCAAGTCCGGCCACCACTACCTATGTCAATAGTTGCACAGAAGATGAGAGGGATAGGATGGTTAATCTTTGACTTGACTTCATCAGAACTTATCTATGATACATTATCTTATTTTAGGCTAGTTCCATTTTAGGTTTTTTTTAATTGCGTCACAAAATTACAATTTTTTTTCACATTGCATCGTGAGGTTTTAGTATCGTATCAATTATCTTAATTATTATTTTAAATACAAGTGATATTACTACTTTAATTTATACTGAGGAAGAGTGAAATGTTTGAGCCCGAAATGCTTGAAAGGGGATGTCCTAATCACCATGGTAATTCACCACTTAGGCCTTTCATCGATTTTAATATGGTCGATATTTTGCAAAATTGATGATGTGGCAAAGGTTGGTTGTCGTTTTGAGGATCTCGATGAAATTTTGATTTATATGGTGCTAATGTAACTTCCATGTAAACTCAAAAATTGCCGACACGCTTCGTAACACAAGGACTAGATATAAGACTTAAATTGATAATTAAGAAGAAACTAATGAGGCATGTACATTTAAAAAGCCTAAAGTGGATTGGAAGGGAAGCCTACAGTGGATTGGAAGTGAAGCAAAAGGGACAAACAGTTCCCCAATTGGAAGCTACATGTAATATATACACATATACTTCATTGGTTGGTTTTACCTAAAGGCTTTAAGCCTTTACAATTTCAAGTTTTACAACAACACTCCATCAACGTTTTAAAATGATTGTAACAAAAAAAATTTGTTGCAAATTTGCCAAATATGATACCAACATGTATACGAAAATTTCACGTGACAGAATATAAAAGCTAAAAGAGTAAGCTACACAGGTTAATATCCTTAAGTTTAAGATAATTTCATGTGTGACCTTCTAGCACAATTAACGGGTCATTCGAACCCAACCCGTTTCACCCGTTAACAAGTATTATTATTATTTTTGTTTGCATAGGGGTTTTTTTTTTTTTTGTTAAGACTTTACTGAAATTACTAAAGATCCTCAACTAACGGGTGCTAATGGGTCTAACGGGTTGACCCAAAGTGACCCGTTATTTAATGGTGTTGATGCACAAAACCAGAGGGGTATTGGAACAACGTAAATCTGACCGTGAATATGCAAGAAAGTAAATAACAATAGATGTTTCGTGGTTCACCCAAATGTTTAGGCTACATCCACACTGATATTGTATTTCTCTATTTGTGAGAGGATGAGAGGGATGGAAAGCTTGAGAGCTTTGCTCTGAATATGAGAGGCTTGACCTTTTGTGAGGGTGAGGAGGCCCTTTTATAGAATAAGGGCTCCTCACGTATTACATATTTGCCATTTCCTTTATTATATAATTACATTTGAGTTCCCTAAGTATGTATACTAGATCTAAATACGAAAGCCCTAAGTATGGTACAAACAGTAGTCCCCCAAGTCTTCAGTCAAGAGAGTCTTTTGGCTGGAGACTTGAAATTCAGTCCATGTGTGGGCCGAAGTAACTAGATGTCGTCTTGACCTGATTCTTGATATGAGGCGGTGCTCAAAGTGAAATGATGCTCAACTAGAAGTAGCATAAGTTGCGAGGCTGCTCGGTTTGTAGCTTATATTGCCTTGGTTGGCTCAGCTTGCGGCATTGAAGGTGAGGGAGTCCCTTTTATAGAATAAGGGCTCGCTCCTCAATACATGAATGATGGGCTAGAGTTGATGCTCGCGGCAAGACGGTTGCTTAGTTGGCGACGATGCTCTCTAATGATGGTGAGAGAGTTCCTTTTATAGAATGAGGGCTCGCTCCTTAATACATAAGTGATGGACTAGAGTTGATGCTCTCTAATGATGGTGAGGGAGTCCCTTTTATAGAATAAGGGCTCGCTCCTCATTACATAAGTGATGGGCTAGAGTTGATGCTTTCTAATGATGGTGAGGGAGTCTCTTTTATAGAATAAGGGCTTGCTCCTCAGTACATAAATAATGGGCTAAGTCCCCCAAGTATTTTTCATGAGGCCCAGTTGAGGAAGCCCAATATATGGTACATAGTGTAGTCCCCCAAGTCTTCAGTCAATAGAGTCTGTTGGCTGGAGATTTCAAATTCGAACCATGTATGGGCCGAAGTGGCGGTTGTTCGGAGGCGGTATTTGTATACCCTGCACTGAAGCTTTGTAGGTGAAGCTTTGCAATTGAAGCTTTGAAGCTGGAGCTTTTGTAAATGAAGCTTTGAAAGCTGGAGCTCTGTAAATGAAGCTTTCGAAGCTAGAGCTTTGTAAATCAAGCTTTTGAAGCTGATTGACATGAGTAATGCTCATGAATGTTTATGTTAATTGACATGAGTGATGCTCATGAATGTTGACATGAGTGATGCTCATGAATGTTTATGTATGATTGACGTAAGTAATGCTCATGTATAATTTGAAGTACTGTGCGTACTTTTGATCACCTAGTGAGTGATAATAGCGGTAGACTGCCGAATAATTTTGGAGTACTGGGCGTACTTTTGATCACCTGGTTGGTGATAATAGCGGCAGACTGCCGAATAATTTTGGAGTACTGGCGTACTTTTGATCACCTGGTTGGTGATAATAGTGGCAGGCTATCGAATAATTTTGGAGTACTGAACGTACTTTTGATCACTTGGTTGGTGATAATAGAGGGTCTGGCTCTTTTTGGCATATGGGCCTTCGCCCTCCACATAACATTCCAGTCCATTATTTTGGGCTTTTAGTTTGTATTTTTTATTTTTTGTATTACCCTTTGATGGGGTTTATACAGATGTCTCCGAAAGATAAGAAAAATAAATCACATCATTCAAAAATAAATCTGATCATCTGCTCAATGGGTCACGCCCATAATTCCCTTTTTTGCATGTCATCACCACCTCAATTATGTCTGCTTCTTTTTATCTTTTTTTGCTTTCTACTTTTGCTTTTGCTTTTACTTTTACTTTCTCTTTTCTATTTCCTGCATGTTCTCTTATAAAACGTAATAGCTGCCTGGACATCCTTGACACCACACACTTACTTTTCTTGCTTTTCTTGATCTCCCCGTTCCTTGCTTTTGCTTTCTGTATTCTTTTTCTCTAAAGTGACAGCACTTTCTTTTCTTGATTGATGTTCCTTTGCAGATTTTGAGCTTGAGATCCACTGAGCACATAGAAGGCAATCACACGGTCACCAGGCCGACCCACCTTGACCAAAGCCCATGTCAGCATCAGTGAGCGGGTCAGCGAGCGAGAGTGCGAAAAGCAAATCTGATTGCTCTCCTAGAATGTACTGATCCTTTAAATTTGAGGTCTCATCTGCATCTAAGATGGAGGAAGTCAAGCTAGCAACTTTGTAGCAATTACACAGCCCTGTTGATGTTTCACTGCTGATGTTGCTCTTGGCAATAACCATACCAATATCCCACTCCTCAACCACCCAGAACACTAATCATAATTTCGGCCCACAAATCTCAATTTTCAGCAGAATATTTCAAAATACTTTTCCAACATATGAGAAACCTGAAGATTCGGGGATGAAGATTCCGGCTACACTGAGCATTGCCCATCTGCAGTGTATAAGCTCTGCTTGCTGGTTCCATTTCAGGCTATCTGGGTCAGATGAAAGACCAAAATGATCGAAGCCGAAATCTCCTGGGAGGCTTCCATCGAGCCATGGGGAATGGGTGCTTCCTGAAAACCACATAAGTCTATCATGGTCAGCAGCAGCCGCACGTACTGTCAAAGATGACGATGATCCAATGGTGGATGTGAAGCTTCTTACTCTTAGCTTCCTCTCACCAAAGAAAGAAGCCTTAGTTACCGTCAAAGAAGACCCGCCCTTCTGGGAATGCAACGATACAACGACGGCTGTAATGGTGGAAGAGGAAGCCCAGGCGAAGGCCATTTTTCGAGGCTTCAACCAAAACGGCGACTGAGGGTTCAAGTTCGAGAGCTGGAGAATCAAGGCGAAGCGAGCCACGGGGACCAAGAGGATCCGATCGAATTGGGCTTCCAATTCGAAGCTCGACGACGGCGATAACAGAGAGGAGAATAGAATAGTGGTTCAGCGCAGATCCCGATCTTCTTTTCGAGCTTGGATTTTCTCCTCCCTCCTCCTCCTCCTTGTATCTTCTTATTTCTCAGTTGGGTATTTTTTTTTGGCCCTTGATGTTTACAGAGGACAAAAACCGAGTGATGAGAGAAAGAGAGAAAGAGAAAAAGAGAGAAAGTGTGTCTATGTCTCTGTGGGTTTTGCAGATTCATGGCGGAGGTGAAAAAATGAAAGAGAACCGACACAACTTTTCGTATTGATTCCCACAGACGGCGCCAAATGTTGATGCACAAAATCAGAGGGGTCTTGGAACAACATAAATCCGACCGTGAATCTGCAAGAAAGTAAATAACACAAGATGTATCGTGATTCACCCCAACATTTGGGCTACGTCCACACTGATATTGTATTTCTCTATTTGTGAGAGGATGAGAGGGAAGGAGAGCTTGAGAGCTTTGCTCTGAACATGAGAGGCTTGACCTTTTGTGAGGGTGAAGAGGCCCTTTTATAGAATAAGGGCTCATCACTTATTACATATTTGCCTCTTCCTTTATTACATAATTACATTTGAGTCCTCCGAGTATTTATACGATATCTAAATACGGAGGCCCTAAGTATGGTACAAACAAATAGGTTGACCCAAAGTGACCCGTTATTTAACGGATGGTTAACGGGTTCATCCGTTAACGATCCGACCCGTTAAGCATCTACCCAAATACTAATATTAACGGATCGAATCAGGTCGGGTCGGGTCCAAAATGTCAGATCTATTCCAGACCTTAAAAGGAGCACGTAATATCTAATGAGGATAGAAAGTTGTAAACATACATACATATACATATACATCTACATACATCTACATACATACATACATACATACATACATACATAGTTTTGATGATGATAAAGTGGGAAGTTGAGTAAATGGAAGAATGGATTGAACAGTTTGGGTCGTTTGTGATAAAGTTGTGATAAGTAAAGCCCATAAAAGTACCCGACCAAGAGAGAAGACGGCGTTCTTTCCAAGCTGAGACACTCCGTACAAAAAGCTCAGCTCTTTCTTTCTCCTGCGACGCCAGAGCCAGATCGACCTTCCAAAGTTCCAACCATCCTCGTCCACTTAACCAAAATAGAATAAACAAACAAAAACCACAAACTTCTCAGTCGCCGGAACGCCGACACGTGTAAGAACCACCACCATGCGCCTCCCAATCATCACCGTCCGCGGCGGCAGATGGCCGGGGAACGCCGGACGCCGATGATTGTTTATGAGCCGTCGTTTTAATAGAAATGCCGGCGACTGAACAACTGCGCCACCTGCGTTTCCTGGAGTGCAACCGTCACGAGCTCAATCACCATGTCCAGGTCGGTTTCCTTGTCAAAGTTTCGATCTTTCGTCTGTTTGAATGTTCTCCTTGAATTCTTGCGTTTTGTTTGGTAGCTGAGAAAACTGAGGGAAAAAGAACAAATGGAAATCAATAGTCTTTTTCGTTTTTAGAAGCAATCCCAAACAGGTCCTTCGAGCTCAACTGTGTTTATTTTATTTGTTCATATATTCGAATTGGTTGAACTTATGCTTCTGTTGTGGCTGAGTTAATAATTCTTTTGCAGAATAATAAATATAAATATATATATATACACACACATACACATAATTGATATGTATACAATTGATTCCCAATAAGCATGGATCAGAGGGCTATTCAAATCTTTTGGTTTCAGAGAAGTGATGGGAGCATTGGGTTCTCAAAATTTTTGTGCTTTTTCATTGTTTTATCGAGTCGAAATTCTAAAATATCCGACAAAAGTCTGCATAATTTTCATGCTGGAGTAGCATCTTTGTCTTGTTTTCATTTTCTGTTGTATTTTCGGTTTTATAGCTTAAGTGGACTGGTTATGTATGAAAGAGATTTTATGATATGCAGATTTTTGGCCTATGGAAATGTAAGGAGGGGTGTAAGATCCTTTCTTCAAGATCAGCGAACTGGATACGTAGAAGTTGCAAGTAACAAGGTGTATCACTCAGTTGAAGCTCCTTACACCCTATGCAGATTGTTTCCGAGGTATATGCATTGTTTAAGAGGGCAGTCCCCGTTTATGTTACATAAAGCAAGAGATGAGTTGTTAAGGAGCAGTGGTTCTAGGAACTTATATACCCTATCGTCAAGAACCAGAGTTTCTCACCATGCTCAATTTGCTTGGAAAAAGCTTTCTCAGTTATGTTCCTATAGGGGCCCAACTTTACCGCCAATTGGTCAAATTGCGCGTGCAGTGAGCTTGTCTTTGACACGCTCAAATTTAGTAGCTCCTGGTGTTATTGCCTTTGTAATTGGAGAGTTTGCTCGGACACAGAGAACATGTGCAGAAGCAGAAGGCCTCCCAACAAAAGACACTCTTTATCTTCATGCCCAAGATGGACATATTTATTTAACCTCACTTGTGTTTGCACTTGTGGAGTGTATTATCTTGTTTATCAGAGCAATTTATCTAGCAATTTTGTTCTCACCCTGTATTACTATGGCACCTTTTGCAAAGTCCCTTGGCCGTCGGTATAGGAGAATATGGCTTCGTGTACTCCATCTTACCCTGGAAAAGGCTGGCCCGGCATTCATAAAATGGGGTCAATGGGCTGCTGCAAGACCAGATCTCTTCCCAAGAGATTTGTGCAGTGAACTTTCAGAACTTCACACACGTGCTCCAGCGCATAGTTTTTACTTCACCCAAAAAAGTATTGAGAAGGCGTTTGGTCGAAGGCTGCCTGAAATTTTTGAAAAATTTGATGAGGAACCTGTGGCATCAGGAAGTGTTGCTCAAGTCCATCAAGCTGTACTCAAATACAGATACCCGGGTCAGCAGATCAAGCCCAGGGTTGTCGCTGTCAAGGTTAGACATCCCGGTGTTGGTGAGGCAATTAGGAGGGACTTCGTGATTATTCATTGTGTAGCCAAAATTTCAAGGTTAATCCCTTATTTGAAGTCGTTGAGATTGGATGAAAGCATTCAGCAATTTGCCGTTTACATGATGTCACAAGTTGATCTGTCAAGGGAAGCTGCACATTTGAGTCGTTTTATCTATAATTTCCGAAGATGGAAGGATGTCTCATTTCCGAGGCCTCTATATCCCCTGGTGCACCCATCCGTTTTAGTGGAAACTTATGAACAGGGCCAAAGTGTTATGCACTATGTTGATGAGCTGGAAGGAAATGAACCAATTAAAAATGCCCTTGCTCACATCGGGTCCCATGCTCTGTTGAAGATGCTTCTGGTAAAATTTACTATGTTCTGCTCGTTATTTTTTCCTTTTTCTTTCAATCCTTTTAACTTGTGTTTGTTTATGTTAATCCATCATCTTGGTTTACAGGTTTCTTTATGTTCTACCCATAACCAGTCTCGAAAATGTAACTGACCAATAACAATATCTGCACGAACCGGCAATGATAGGACATGAACTGATTGAATGTTTGTTAAAGCATACCATTCAGAACATATACCATAGGCTAGTGGAAATTTATGTTTTTTTTCACTACATTGCATGTATCAATCTATTTGCAGTATGTATGCCTTTTTAAGAGCCGGCCCAGTAAATAAATTTCTATTTAAAGTGAAAAAGTGAGGCTTGTAGTACCTAGTAATCAACATAATTCTTGTAGAACAGTTAGAGGTGATTTGTTGACGGTAGAAGCTAGTAGCTTGAATTTGAAAGTTCTCATCCTTTAAGTAAACGCTAAGACGTGTACTTTTTCTTCCAGGTTGATAATTTTATCCATGCTGACATGCATCCTGGGAATATTCTTGTCAGAGTATCCCGTTGCAAGTTACCAAGTAAACAACTATGTAGATTGAGGCCTCATGTTGTTTTCCTTGATGTGGGGATGACTGCCGAACTTTCTAAGAGAGATCAACTGAATTTAGTCGAATTCTTCAAGGCTGTAGCCCTTAAAGATGGTCGAACTGTTGCAGAGCGCACTCTGAGATTATCTGGACAGCAAGACTGCCCAAATCCAAGGGCTTTCATTGAGGTAATGCATCGCTGCCAATCTTTTTCGTTTGAAAAGAAATTGTTAGTTTTTGCAATTCAAAACAATTTTACACTTGTCACTTTTGCATCTTAGCTAAAAAACTTCACACCAAATCGAAAGATATATTTTTAATTCAAAGTTCATGGTCACCTTTTGATCTTGTTTAACCAAAATGTTTATTTTAAAGTTTCTGAAAAATGATAAGACCACAACAGTCCGTTCTCATTCTTAAGGGGTAGGAGATACAACTTGGCTTAAAGGCTGTTGGCCATATTTTATCACTTACAAGCTACGTTATCTTCGTAATTTGCATGAATATGAATGACTGGTTCAACATAATTTAAACTACGTAACTTTTTGTTCACAATAGCGTCGAACTTTGTGCATTTCATCTTTTTAACATGAATATATTCCTGGAGAACCAATTACGACATGTGGCTGGAGTTTCTGTAGATTATTCAATAATTGCAGAAGTAATTTTGTTGTTGGCTCAAACTTACTGTGCAGTCAAGTCTTTCAGCCTGCACAGTTAACATATATCGTACTTTTATATCTCAAGAGCATGAAAACTGTGAAGGATTTCTTATCCTATTGTGACATTGATGACGGGGTAATTCAAAAGTTATTCTTGTTGGACAAAGTATTTTCTCCGTTCAGGCATGCCGCAACTGGCCATAATTTACCGATGATAATATATAGCAAATGACTATTATGTGTTGTAAACTGTTACCTTTAAGTTTGTCAAGGTGTCATCCAAGTTTCAAATTAGACTCTGAGGCCTTAACCAAAACTGTGCCCATGAGTCGTGTGTAAAAAGATGCAAACGTAAGCATGT